CAAGTAACGCCAGGCAGCCGGGGAGTAGGAATATGCCTGAAAAAGGCTCTATTAAACATATTTTTAACCTATTAAATTCGATTTAACATCACTAAAAATCAAAGGTTTTTATAGAGTTTTGTTCTGCAATTCCGACTACTTCAAAACCGATAATAACGATAATCATTATCCTTAAAACACGTTCCGTTTTTTGGAGCTTCACCCCCGTCAGTTAAGTTTGTCTACAAATTTTTGCCTAGATCCTGAAAATTAGGAAGTGTCTTAGTGTTTTATTTTAAAACATTTGGCTAGAATCCATGTAAAAACGCCCTAAAACTTGATAAAAAAATTTAAAAACAATTTTCGTAAATTTTTGGTTTTTTTTCGGTAAACTATGTGCTCCCGATTAAGGTCAGCTAACTATCGTAATTATTCAACATGTCAACAACATATTTTTTCCAGCGCTGTTTGCAGGGTATTGGATCCTTTAGAATGTATTTTTACAAAACCGACCGTATAAAAATCGAAGGCGCATCATGCTGGATAGGTCGAACTGGATCTGGATAATCTTCTAAAAGGCTCTTTCATATATTAACATCGTAATGAATTCAAAGAAAAAGCTATGGGCAGGCTAGCAGAGATCATTTGGGATGAGAGAGAGGGGAGGGGGGGGCAGGCTAGCAGAGATCATTTGGGATGAGAGAGAGGGGGAGGGGCAGGCTAGCAGAGATCATTTGGGATGAGAGAGAGAGGGGGGGGGGCAGGCTAGCAGAGATCATTTGGGATGAGAGAGAGGGGGAGGGGGCAGGCTAGCAGAGATCATTTGAGGAATTGGAGCCCGAGCGGCTTTAAGAAGGAAGTGGAAATGATGTGATTCGGGGGAATATTTTCGGGACTGATGAATCGTCGGTCTGATTCAGGGTATATTCCAGAAAATGCATACTTTCCGGGGTGCGGCCCATCCCGCTGGACTTATGCAAATACAAATAGCTATAGAAAAATCGCGTCACTCCTCAATGAATCTCTGCTAGCCTGTCCCGTCAAAGAGCAGTAGAAATCTTTCAATTTTTACTTTGAAAAATTAGCAAAAAGGAAATTCTGAAAGCTATTAAGCAATTATACACCGAAGCGTAGTGGCTGAGATATGGAACATATATTTTGGAAATGAGGTCTCGGAAAATGGTTAGCCAGGCTAACAATAAATCCACCAAAATGGCCCTTATTTGCATAGCTTTCGGCCTGGAGGGCATATTGTCTGCTTCTCTCTCTCTGTCTCTCTCACTCTCGCTCTTACTCTCTCATTCTCGCTCTATCACTCTCTCTCTCTCACTCTCTCTCTCTGTCTCTGTCGCTGTCTCTCTCTCTCTCTCTCTCTCTCTCTCTCTCGTGCCTTTTGACCTGCCCAGACAATAGCCATGATTTAATAGGCTTTGTTTGCCAATTTTCCACGATAAATTTGGTCATATTTGCATTTGTATAATAGTCTATTGTAGCGATGCGGAATTTCGGAAAATGTATAGGCAAAATATTGGTCCAATCACAAAATCAAAAAAATATATCACTAAAGAGGTTTTTAAAGCGATTTTTCGGGTGTAGAATGTCGATTGGCGTCAGGCGAGCCGACCAACTTTTTGGCTTCAATGGTCCTTTAAAAACGCGGTGAATTTAAACACGAAAATATTAGCATTTTCCATATTTCGAGAGAGGAGTTTAATTTTTGCGACAAAACCCGCGGAGCATTGCTAAGTTGGGGAATAAATCTTATGGAAAAATTTTTGAAACACATTTTTTTGGCTATCGTTAATCGGATCCTAGGCCGATTTATACGATTTTCTTCTAAAATTCAAGGTCCTTAAAATGGTTGATAGCGATTATAAAATTCTTTTAATGCGCGAAAGCATTTCCGCAATAACCTTGGTTTTGCTCGGAGCAATTTGCTATGTAATACTAATTTGAACTTGTTAACAATAGAGGCGCTAATATTGCATGAAATCGACTTTACTACCGATCCGCTATTTTTATTTTTTGGAAAGTGCCAGTAGGGAGCGTGATGCGAATATTTTTCGAAACTTGCTCGAAAGCACCGATTTTTGTGAAACCCATTGTTTTCAGGTTTATTTTCTTACGATATTTTTCTTTTGACCCAATTTTTCAAAATGATGTAATGTATAACCTTAGAATAAACGCAGCACTTAAACGTGGTGTAAAATAAACGTATAACTATGAACTTAGCGTAACTTCCCGTTATAACTATCGTAAGCTGCAAGTTACGATAGCGTAACTTAAGGAGCGTAAAACGGAGCACACCTAAAATTTACGGTAGCGCAACGTAAAACTCACCGTATCCTAACGGAACCTAACTGAAAGCCTGGCGTATGCTGAAACATAACGTAGGGTAAAACGGAACGTAATGGATATTCAAACGCAACCTAACGGGGAGAAGATGTAGCCTAACGTAGCGTAACACGTAGCCTCAGGCAACGTGACCTCACGTAATGTGATGTAGAGTAACGCAACCTAGCGTAACATAAAACGTAGCGAAACCTACGAGGTTCCTGACTTAACGTATCTATGCGGCAACACTCGGAAAAAAGTGTTACGTATTTTATGCGTAACAGATTGCACGATCATCAGCTAGATCCAGGTAGATCAACAGATAGATCAAGGTATCCTTGCGCCAACAAATTTCGTTAATAGGAAATTTTGCGAAACAAATTTTTATACATTTTCCTTCATTCTATTATCGCCGGAATTTCATCGAACTAGTTCCTTGGAACTGTTTAAAGGGGCTCAGAAGTCAAAATTTGTGCGTGGGCGAATTGAACCAACGGGCGAAAAAACGATAGGGTCACTGCCGAGAAGTGCTAAAAAAGTGATTGATTGCGAAAAAACGTAAAATGTTTGAGAAAAACCGAATTCTTTTTGCGGCGAAAACGACATATTGAGTGCGGGGCGATTACATGTCGTAATGCCTTGTAAGGCACCCAATCTCTCGATCTCGGTGTTTCTCTAATCAATTTTCATATTTTAAAAGTCTGGAATGATCAAAATTCGTTGAGGATTCCAAAAATAGTATCAGAATTTTTAAATTCAAGCGCTTTCGCGTCCAAACAGGGGCAAAAGGCCATGCGACGCGGTCGCGTTGCGGCCGCATCTGGCTATTTGCCAGGAATCACAGCAGGGGGCCGTGGACCAGATTTCGGAGCCCCTTTAAGTTTCGAAATCTTTTACATCGATTTTTTGCAGTTTATTTTTAATAGAAGAGGGAGGTCGAAGATTACTTGATCAATCAATTTTCGTAAATACTAAATGTAAGGAAACACATTTTTTTGGAGTCATTTTCTAGCTATTTTTTACCTGATTCACGAACGAATGGAAACCGATAATGATTCTAATTCCAAATATCCAATAATTTATGGATTTTTATCATAACTATTAATTTTTCCGAAACACACTTTTTATCGATTTTTCTTGTGCCTTATTTTTGGGGTGATTTGGTACACAAATGATCAATCATATCCCCCAATCTCGCGTTTCCATTTCGTTTCTGTCCTTTTGACGTTTTCTCTCCCCCCAAAATGCGATAAATATTTTCTCAAAATTAGCACGTTTCACTCCAGACCCCCGAAAAATACAATTGATTTCTAAAAACCCGCTGAATCCAAATACCTATTAAAAACGATTATTAGAAAAAATGAGGCTAATTATCGCTATTTTTATTCTTACTGTATTGATTTCTTTAAATTCCGCTGAGAATGACACTACCAGTCGACTGGCCAATGTTATACGCAAGACGTTTAAGGTATGTTAATTTTTCAAATTTTTTTTTGTGTAAATTTAATCGGTGTTTATATTTAGCTTATAGCCGTCGTTTCTATTTATAGCAATTTCGGCTTTAAATAGCTATCTTAACAATTTAAAACTAAGCGAGCTCCAAAAACTTCGTTAAAATTTAAGTTTAAAAATTTATGTTTCATAGAAATTGGTTATCTGGGGGCCAAAGCCTTCACTAATAATCGGTTTTACGTGGTCGCGAAAAAGGGGGATCCATGTCGATATCAGCAAACCTTCAATTTAGATTTATTTGTTTTCATGTATTTTAACTTCCCCCGTTTCTAATAAACATCTGTTTCTTTTAAATGCTCGATTGTTTATTTTTTTTCAATAATGACCGTTTCATACTGAACAAAATATTTTGCAAACTCATGATTTCAAAAAAATGTTTTGTCAAAAACAGGTTTTCAAAATTTTCGGCTGCATCTAATAAAGGGGACAATTTTCGGGATTAGTGTTCTGTTTTCGGTTTAACCATTCTGATTAACCTTTTCCCATCAACTTCATCAAAATTGGGCCGTTGCTTTTTGCTTTGCTTTTCGACTATTGTCCGTTTCCTACTGATGAACAAAATATTTTACACTCATCTTTCCAAAAAAAATGTTTTGTCAAAACCAGGTTTTGAATCGCCCGCTGTCCCTAATTCACTGTTTCCGGGGGTTCCAATCTCATCGAATGAATCTCGATTGGGTTCCAACATTTTTCGCCAGCGTCTAAATCAGTTTCAGATAATATTGAATTTTGAAAATTGGTGTTGTGCTAAAACTCGATAAAACAAATTCCTTATAGGACATAATCCTAGTTTTTAGGGGGAAATCTCTGTGTTCGGGCAGCTTAGGCTTAGGCTTTGGCATTTTTTGTTGCGTCTGTACTTCAGTTTATTATGATTTATTCGATTCATTAATTTTCATTTACAAATATCAATAATGGATGGGCTTTTCCAACATTTAGGAAAGGTTTTTGGGATTTTTTTGAGCGTTGCAAAAAGATGTTTCCCAAAAAAGGCCCTGTTGCCGAATTTCTGCCAAATTTAATTCTTCTTCGTTTTCGTGAGCCGCCCTGTTTACCCCATGAATTTTTCAGAATAGCATTTTTCGCAAAAGGATGTTTCCCACAAAAATGATGGTGCGAAATTTTTTGACACATTTAATGCGTTGTGGCCTCATTCAGCTTGTTTTCTTTGTCCAATGTTTGGATATCTTGTCGATTTTGCCGGGAGCGCGGTAAGGAACGCGCGCATATTCCAGGAATGACCATGTTTCATCAAATATTGTGGTGGGGTCCTGCAGACTTTGACTTAATTGCAAATCACCCGATGTTCACTGATTGATCCCTGCTAGCTTGCCCCCCTTTTAAAGGGATGCCGACGGCATAGACAATCGGTTACGCGCGGAAAAGAAAATGTCTCTGCGCCTCTCCCCTGGGCGCGCTCTCTGCCCTGTTGGCTACGCTACGCGACACGCGACGCGTCGCCCAGCGCGCGGCGCGCACGTTCAAGACAATAACCATGTTTAGTCCATAATTGTAGTGCCGTCCTTCCGTGATGGGCCATTAAAGGGCAGAGCATGGCTGAGGCATTAATTTATGGTTTTTAGTAATTTTTTTGTTTCTAACTTGCCCCCATTTTAAAGGAACTGGCAAGCGAAAAGTAATTTTTGTTCTGGAACCCACGAACTGGTAACGCGAAAACTCATTTTTGGTCTCGAGCCGATTTGGTTTTGCCGCGATGCGACATGCGACAGACACGCGACGCGACAGGTAGCGCAACGGCGCGACAGCAACGCGACGCTAAGCGACGTGGCGAAACACGTAAAGCTGCAGGCAACGCGACACGTAACCCGAAAGGCAGCGCGGGACGCAACGCGGACCACTACATGACGCGCTACGTGACTCGCGATGCGACACACAACGCGACACTCAACGCGACATGCAGCGCGACATGCAACGCGACACGCAACGCGACATGGCACGCAACGAGGCGGGTAAAGCGACACGCAGCGCGACACGTGGCGCGACGCCAAGGAACGCGACGCGACACGTAGCGAGACACGCAGCGCGACAAGCAACGCGGCACGTAAAGCCAAATGCAACGCGACACAACGGCGAACGCGCCTTATTCGATCACGCGATGGAAAAGCGAGGCGGGCGCGCTGCGTGTTGAGGCAAAGCTAGTTCCAAACATCCGGCCAAAAATAGTACACCCCGTCCAAAACCCTGAGCTCTAGAAATTCAAGAAACATATCTCTTTTAAGAAAATATTTTTTCTTAGGCCCAGAAATTTCGATTACCGTATCAAATTTGTTTTAAAGGCATTAAAACGCGAATAATAAAAGCAATAAAAATAAGTTAATTTAGGCCATTTAAAAATTCGAGTAGCCTTCCTAATGTAATAAAAATGATATATTTCCAGGGAATCGACACGGACCAGGACGGCGGTGTGACCTGGCCCGAATACCAGGCCTATTTGACTAGGAGGTTTGGACCGAAGCTGGCCATGGTTGATGGGCCAATGATTTTTGGGCATGCCGACGAGAATGGCGATCGGCGCATTAATGAAAATGGTAGTAAAAACCAAATTACGTCGTGACTAATCCTGTCGCGCATGCCGCTTACGTATTTTTCCGAAACATAGACTTTTTATTATATTATCTAGCCAACTTCCTGCATAATTTTAAATAGACGACCTTTTACGCCATAATTGACTAATATTAATTAAATAAAAGGAATTATTATAGTGTGGAAATACCCCCGTTTCAGAATACATCCACTACATCACGGCCACGCTCGGGCGAGCCGACATTGTCGAAAAGTTGAGCGAATCCGAGGTAAATCAGATTAATTTCTCTAATGTTAGATCATTATTAAATTACCGGTGAATAATGATGGTTAAAATAATTTACATTATATGATTTTGGTATCCAAAGCACAATTTAATAACCCAAAAAGTCAGATTTTCAAAATCTATGTTTCAAGAAAATAAGTGAGTCCGCCTGGGTATTTTTTATTATCAGTCAATGCAATTAAAATTGACGCAATTTTAGTCGAAAAATTACATTTTTTTACAATAAAAATACATAGAAGCGTTATTTCCGACTGTTAGAAAAGAAAAGCATTAAGGGAAGAATAACCAAGTTTTTGAATATAATGTTTCAGCAATAAACTTATTTACGGCATCATTTTGAAGGGGAATCAGTATTTGTATGTCGATTTCAAAATGCATTAAAAGTAGCACCGATTTATTTCCAAAATTCAGGCGATCGAATTAAAAGCATTAAAATCAAGCGCGAAAAAAAACATATAAATTACAGGCGGCCCTCCTCAACGACAGCAAGCATCCAACTTCGGAATAAATTGAGAGAAATATATTTTTTTGGGTTTTGATTAATTTTTATACTACATATATTCGCAAATAAAAAGATACAACCCGAAATAAAACATAAAAAGACTGGCAAAATGCAAGCGCACAATATAATTTTTAGAAAAAATTGTGTTTTGAACAGTTTCGAAGTTTCGAGAGAGGCGATGAAATCAGTCAATGGGGAATGTTAACTTTTGTACCTGACAAAGGAAAGGAAAAAATGCGTTGAATAACAACGTGTTTCATCGACTTCTCAGATTCCCCGGCAATCAATCAGTTGAATCCGCGATTCGGAGTGTTACCTTTAATTAAAAAGTAAACATAATTTATTTCCAAATTCAAACCTAAAAACAAGTCTAAAAAAGCATACAAATTAACCAAACTCCTCGAAGACATCAAGCAACCAACTCCCGAAGAAATGGTGTAAAAACCTGCTTTCGGTTTTCATTTTTGCTTTTTTAATAAAGAAAAGGCAAGTAAAAAGACAACTCAAAATTGAAGATAAAAACGCCATGAAGAGCAAAGAACAAAACGAGGAAATCAAAAAAAGATGTTTTGGAAAATTTTAAAATCCTGCCAGAATTTACCAAATTAATGTTTTAGCGGTGGGGCTGAATCGTAATATCTTTTTCGCGATTTTTACGAATTTCTCGCTATAAAAAATATCGTAAGGAACCGGGAAAGCTAAATTCTGTTTCTGACATAGAAAAGGAAAAAATGGGTTGAAAACCAATGTGTTTCATCCAATACGGTGATTCCCCGGAAAGCGATCTGTTTAGTTCTTGCGTCCGAGTGATTTCTTCAATTAACAGTTCAACATAAAGTTTATTGAGAAAGTTTAAATCGTAAATGAGTAGCGAAAAAAGCAGATAAATTAAAGGCGGCCTCCAACTTCGGAAGGAATGGTGAGATATACGCCATTTTTCAATTTTTATCGATTTTTATCTTCATTATATTTGTGGATAACGAGATACAACCCGAAAATACATCATCAAAACCACCAGCAAAAGTAACACAACACTAAAATTTTGTGAGAGAAAAATGTGTTTTGGAAAAGCCGAGGGTTACGGGGAAAGTGATAGAATTCGTAGTGTGCTCTGTCTGTATAATTTGTTTAAGTTTTTTTTGTGAGTCTTAGGATCTTCTTGCTATCAAAAGACAACAAAGAATGGAATTGATCAACATTTATTTTCCGTTGAAAACAAAAATTTCTGTGAAAAAAATGTGTTTTATAAAATTCAGGAATCCTCAGCAAATCGACAGGCTCAATCCGGTAATTTCTGTCGTCGAAATTAGCACAAAATTTATTTACAAAATCCGTAAAATCGATAAAATTAAATCAATAAAATCAAGCGCGAAAAATATATAAATTACAGGCCGCTCGCCTCAATGATAAACACATACAGCATCTCAAAAATGAAAAAAAAATTGATTTTTTTGGGTTTTATGGCGATTATATTTGTAAATAGGAAGATAAAACCCGAAATTACATCATTAAAACAACCGGCAAACAGGGTACAACAAAATTAAAAAATTACGGAAGGTTTGGAAAAAAATGTGTTTTGGAAAAATTCAAAGTTCCACGAGAAGGAGCCGATTTAGTGGATATCGCGGCATGCTCATACCCCCTTCCTCATTTTAAAAATTCGGTTCAAAAAAGGAAAATTTAGCTGCGAAAAGTTAGAAAAAAAATTAATAGGTTTATTGAAGACCTATTAATCTTAACAGAATTGAATTTGAATTGAAATTGAAATTGGTCCGATCTTTTAGGGGTCAATGAAGTAAACAAACGGACCCGGCTAGCTGTCCGACTCCCTTTAAAATGCGCAAAAAACAGGGGGGTTTAAAGGACCATTGAAGACAAAACGCGAAACGGTCGGCTGTTGCGCTCCCTTTAAAACAAGGGATAGACGGAAAAATAGTAATTTAAAGGGCCGCTAAAGCAAAATTTCAGAACGGCTAGCTGTCCGACCCCTTTAAAATGCTAGGAAAATAGAAAATCGGATTTTCCAGGGTCCATGAAGTAATAATTATTAATAATTTTCTAGGGTCCACGGCTAGCTGGACTTCGGACTTCAGCCTCCAAGCTACAACCGAAACACGGTCCTCTGTGCCAGCATATGAATGACGCGCGTGTCCCTTTTTGGTGATTTCCGGCCGTCAAAAAATAGATACGCTGACCAGAGCAGCACCATCAGGATGGAGATGCCCACGTAGGCGAAGCTGGAATCGAAATGCCGATTTAATTAATCTATTTTAATTAGTTTTAACCATTTTAATTAATTTATCGGTGCGTTTTACTCCGCCTTCATTACTCGAATTAATTTCTCAAAAAACATTTAATTTTTCAAGGTTTTCGAAACATCAAATTTTTAGAAAATTTTTAAACATTTTCAAAATTTTTAAAATCTTCTGAAGCGTCGCTTTTACAAGTTTTTATAAAATATATTGCATGTAGGGTATCTTTTAGGGGTTATTTATTTTCTAAAATTGAATTTAAAAATTGTTTAGAAAATTTAATTTTCGCGATTAAATTTCGTTATTTTCAATCACTTTTTTAATAGATAGGCCTATATTTAATACATAATAATTACGGTCTATTACTTACCTAACAGCCGTGACAATCTGCTCGCGGGTCCACGGTTTCCCCATCAATAGATAGGTCGGCGAGTTGAGCGGGTTCGGCGACGAGGCCGAGGCGTTCACCTCTAAATGCCCGCCCGGCATGTGGTGGAGGCCCATTGCTAAAAATTCTGTTTTTAGTACTTATTTTAATTTTGATAAAACACTTGAAAAAGCGGAGATGGAGAAAATTTACAATTTAATTAAAATTAAAAAAAAACACGATTTTCTAGTCATTTTTTGCGAATTTTTTTAGTTTTAAGAAAATCAACCAGAAATCTCCGAGTGGAAATTAGATTTTACGAGCATCGCAAAACGGCAGGTAATTTTTGAAACATGGATTTTTGTTAGTATCGAATTTTTATTAGCAAAAAAAAAGGAAAACGAAAGAATTTATTAAGACTTAAAAAAATCGGTGATTTTACGTAAGTTTGAAGCTGCATGTTAATCATCTTGGCACCACATCATGATTAATAATTCGAGAAACATTGAACTTTTTAACAATTTTTTTCTTTATGAAAATCAAATCAAATTTCAGGACGCTACAGGAAGTTAAATTAGGGTCACGATTGCCGACTGATCGCGGCCGAAGCTTGAAACATTAATTTTTGAAAGGGTTCTGAAAATGAGCTAGTAATTCATATTTAAGATTTTTTAAGTAAATGTTATTCTATAAACATCGCTTACTACATATTTTCAATCGATATAATATAGCAACGTTGAAGCCGGAACTCCTCATTTCAATTATTATGGTTTTCTTTACATTGGTTTAAAATTTAAACCAATGCAAGAAAACCAAAAAAATAATGACATTTACATTTAAATTTTTAAATTCACACCCAAAAACAAATATTGTCAAAAGGATCCTAAAACGCAGGCTTGATTTGCATCGAAAAACATGCCAAAAACAGCAAATTGGTAAGCTAGGTTTAAAAGATGATGATAAGGCAGCAACGACATTAGAATTCCGATTTTCCAGTTGCACAGCCGGATACTTGAAACATCGATTTTAAACTATTTTTTAAAAAATGGCTTAGAAATTTCCCGGGAGTAATAATGAGGGAGAGTTAAAGAGAGAAAGAGAGAAAGAGAGAGAGAGGGGGCGAGAGAGAGTGGGAGAGATAGAGTGGGAAAGAGAGGGAGAGAGAGTGGGAGAGAGTGAGAGAGAGAGAGAGTGAAAGAGAGCGAGAGAGAGAGAGAGAGAGAGAGAGCGAGAGAGAGCGACAAGTCCCTTGAAACTAAATTTATACCAAATCCAGTCACCGCTTTTTAAAGGGTGCTGGACGTCAAAAACACCATCTGTCTCGCTCCCTTTAATCGGCCATAAATCATAAAATCAAAATACAACTTCCAAAAAAATCAAATGCGCAAAAAGCCAAATCCCCGAAAATGTCACTCAAGTTGTGGGGGGTCGCCTGGAGAGTGGGGGTCTTCTAGCGTTTCGCGCGTAGTGTTTCGGAATTTCTCTCTCTCCCTCTCTCTCGCTCTCTCTCTCTCCCGCCCATTTCTTGGGGGAGTATTCCATGTCAGCCGGGGATTAAAGGGAATCTGAAGTGAAAGGGGGCAGCGGGCCCAGAAAAAGGGTGGCGGCTTGTTTGATGGCCTGGGGGGACCATAGTTAGGGGGTATTCAATCTGGGAGAATTTCTATTTTTGTAGATACTCGCTCTCTCTCTCTGTCTCTCTTTCTCCCTCTCTCTCGCTCACTCTCTCTCTGGCTCTCTCTCTATCTCTCCCTCTCTCTCCCCCTTCTCGCTCTTTCTCTCTCTCCCTCTCACTCACTCTCTCTCTTTCTCGCTCTCTCTCTCTCTCTCTCTCTCTCTCTCTCTCACTTTCCATATGCAAAAAAATCCTGTAAGAAGCAAAGAATGTTTCGTGAAATTGGCTGAAGTGGGCGCAATTTGTAACAGGAATTCGTCTTCGTAATCGTTGTCACCTCGTAATCAAGAGATTCGAATTGATTGTTTTTCGCCCTGGCGCCGTGAATTGAAATTATTTAGAAAAAGAATAGAAAGAAATACGTAGAAAAATGAGGGGCACGCTAGCAGAGAGAATTGAGGAAAATTATGGCAAGCTGGCAGAGAAAATTGAGGAAAATTAGGGTAAGCTAACCGAGAAAATTTATGGCAGACATGAGAAGGGCTCGTATGGCAAGAGCAAAAGAATTTGGGGAATCCAAGAAGGCAAAAATTCAGTACAAACACACCTGACGCTTTTTAAAAATAGGTTTCAAATTTTTTAGATTAATGAGGAAAAATGGAAAAGCATTTTTACAGCAATCACGAAAATAAAACGTTTCATAATTTTGACAGCAACTCTTAATTTAAATAATACTTAATCGAATACTCGAGACGTTGGGTCAGAAAAATGAAGAAATTCCGCGAGAACCTGGATGCCATTAGTCAGGCTGTGAAGGCAAGCTAGCAGAGGGGATTTGCGGAAATTTAAAAAAATTAATTAAATTGAAAAATGTGAAAACATCACAACGTACATGCCTACAAAAAGAGAAATTCCGCGTGAATCCGATTGACGTCGGGAAGGGCTAGGAAGGCAAGCTAGCAGAGGTGATTTGCGGTAATTTCAAAAATGAAATTCGTTCTCCAAATCCGGAAAACCTCAACGTTTAATTCAACAAAAATGCGGAAATTCCGCGAGAATCCGATTGACATGAGAATAGGGGAGGGGGCAAATGAAAATCGGCATGAAGAAGGGCTTCGTTTATTATTCGCCTGAAAAGAGGGGCGGATTTGTGGCTGAGAGACTCCATCTTTTGCGCGCGTAAATAGGAATAAATCGGATGATTATTCACCACCGGGAATGGCTTCCGGGTCTTGAGAAAACGAAGCTTCAATCGATTTGAGAAATCGATTTTTTCAAAAAAAAAATGTTTCGTCAAAAATTAAAAAACAGCAGCAATTTTTAGTCTATTATTGCTGCGAAGCGACCTAAAAATAAAAATTGTTTTAAGGTATCACTAATTTTTCGAATTTATAACTAGAAAATCCCAATTCGGAAATTCTTCAAAAATGATGTTTCGGAGAAAATTCAAAAAAAATATTGCCACGAGGGATTAATTCTGGTGTAATTTCTATTTTTCGGAGCGGAAGTTAAATTCGTATCCGGAATTTAAAAACGAATAAAATTGCATCGATTTTTTGAGAAATAGGATTTTTTGTAAAAATAAAAAAATAAAAAATGCATTTCCTAGCGTCAATAATTCGTGGGATGCTTAGCCCCGGAATCCCTGTCATCTTTCCTAAAGTCATCTTTCCTAAAAAGTCATTTTTCCTAAAAGTCATCATTCCTAAAAGTCATTTTTCCTAAAACTTGGTAATCGTAAATTTTTATTTTTCCTCAATCACTTTTTTCTAAAAACTATTATTTTCGAAGATTAATTTTTTCTGAAGTTAGGTAGGCGAATAGGGATGCCACCTCCGCCTAACTTCAAAGCTGCTACCTGTGTAGGAACGGCAAAATGCCTTGAACGCCGTCAGCCCTCATAAAAGCTCTTAGTCGCATCGGAGCTATCCTATTTTTTGATTTCTGAATAGTTTTATGAATTCAAAGATAGCATAACTTAAATCAAAACATCCCGAAAAGGTCTAGTACGGCATGGAGACATTAAAATTTTACGGCCCGGGCCTCTCCAAAAAAAATTTTTCTTGAAAAAAAACCAACTGAGAAATATTGATTTTTAGGAAAAATGACTTTTAGGAAAGATGACTTTTAGGAAAGATGACTTTTAGGAAAAATGACTTTTAGGAAAGATGACTTTTAGGAAAGATGACTTTTAGGAAAAATGACTTTTAGGAAAAATGACTTTTAGGAAAGATGACTTTTAGGAAAAATGACTTTTAGGAAAAATGACTTTTAGGAAAGATGACTTTTAGGAAAAATGACTTTTAGGAAAGATGACTTTTAGGAAAAATGACTTTTAGGAAAAATGACTTTTAGGAAAAATGACTTTTAGGAAAAATGACTTTTAGGAAAAATGACTTTTAGGAAAAATGACTTTTAGGAAAAATGACTTTTAGGAAAAATGACTTTTAGGAAAGATGACTTTTAGGAAAATGACTTTTAGGAAAAATGACTTTTAGGAAAAATGACTTTTTAGGAAAAAATGACTTTTAGGAAAGATGACTTTTAGGAAAAATGACTTTTAGGAAAGATGACTTTTAGGAAAAATGACTTTTAGGAAAGATGACTTTTAGGAAAGATGACTTTTAGGAAAAATGACTTTTAGGAAAAATGACTTTTAGGAAAAATGACTTTTAGGAAGGATGACTTTTAGGAAGGATGACTTTTAGGAAAGATGACTAAAACCCTTAGCCCCGGAAGTGCCAGTTTGTAAAGCAATAAATTTGCCGGTCTTTGAAGCGATTACATTACAGGCTTTCTCAAAAGAACCATGTTCACCAGAAATCCAATCTTGTTTCTGAAGTCCTAAAAAAATCCTGTTTCATAAAAACTCTGAAAATAATGAGTTTTTTTGTCGTCATTAATTCGGCAACGGCAGTGGGGGAAAATGCATTTTGGAAATGAGAAAATTCATAGATTGCTTACGTTAGTACCTTTCCAGGTTCCGGGCAAATTCAGAGCCACCCTAATTTTCAACCCAATAAATGCGCAAATTTTTGAATCTAGGCACTTCGTGCCTTGAAAAAATTACATACGGAATTTTTTGAAAAATCATGTTTCGGCAAAAATTTACTTGACTGGTGTTTGGAGTTACTAATTTATTCCGAATTCGGATGCAATACACACACATTTATGCGAATTGCGAAAGCGTCCTGGCTCCGAAAAGAAGGAAAATAGCTCATTTTTTGAAAAATGAACTGTGTCATAAAATTTAGAAACTGGGAACTTTAGAGGAATCAACGTCATGAGATCCTGAAATTGCTCTACATTTCTTTTTCAAAAGCGTGTTTCAGGACACATTAAAAATAAGTTTTTGTTGGGGCGTGTAATTTTTGGTAGTTGATCACATAAAACCTGACAATTAGTAGTTAATATTGCCTAAAAAGTGGTAATGAGTATTTCATCAATTTTTTTTGCTTGCTAATGCACCCCGAGGCTCGAAAAAATCAAGTAAGCCGTAGCGGATTTTTCATACCGCGAATTCAAGGAAAAATAGCTTCACCTCGATCTTCCGAATAATAATGTTTCGTAGGTAAACCAAAAAAATTCTGTAATTAACATATTAATAGGCTGGCTAAAGAAAGGTAATAATTGTTGTAATTTTTTTTAATTAGTAAAAAAGTGCAGGTAATTTTTGAAACAAAAAAAAACTTGAAACTAGTGCTAGAGAGCAAGCTATCCCTTGAGAAACGCGTAATTTAATTAAATTTAAAAGAGGTTAGATTGCTAAAGGCGGCTATGGAAATTTAGGCAAAAAATCCACAAATAGATTGATCAATCTCGGGTTTTTGAAAACGGGTTTCATTTTTTGGCAGAGATCAAAGGCAATCTGCGGAGTCAATTCTCGGCTTCTAAAATCTGGCTGGTTTCCCGAAAATCTGCGGATACAAGAAAAATACGCACAGAAAAAGGTATTTTTCATCCGGGGGCCACCGCACAACGAGCGAGCGAGCCAAGGGCCCGGCGGCCACAAATTTCCGGTTTGCCCGTTCACTGGAGCGAATCGGAGTGGCAAGAAAGGGTAGGGCCCGTTCTTTTTATTTTCTATAGCTGTTTTCTCCCTCGCTCTCTCTCTCCCTCTCTCTCTCTCTCTCTCTCTCTCTCTCTCTCTCTTCTCAGCGAGCAATAAAAACCTGGGGCTTCCATAAAAATAATCTATTTTCGGGGAGGACCATTGGCCAAAAGGAAAAGGCCAGGAAAAATAGGAAAAACGTTCTTGATGTTCTACCGTAGTTTTTAGTGAATTTTAACCTTAAAAATGCTTCAAAAGTGCCGACTACATTTTTTTACAGCGCGAAAGTCAAAAAGTGGGACCTTCCCGGATTGGCCCTTCCATTCGGCCATTGGCACCCATCATGGGCGAAACATATTTTTTGTAGAATGCCAAAAATCTTGGTGACGTATGGTACGTGTTTTAAAGGTTTTTCATCAAGTTCACGATAGTTAAATTGTAAAAAAAACTAAACGTTTCATAAATTCGGAATTTTTGTCGAAAACCGACATTTCTATGCTCTGTCGAAATCTATGCTAATTTTGGATTTAAAGTGTGATTTTTCAGCATTTTCGCAACTTGCATAAATTTTTTCCGGTAAAATTTGTTTTTGAATGTTTGAATTCGCTTCCGATCCATCAAAAATCCCCAAAAATCTCACGGTTTAGGGTGTTCAAACAAGTTCAAACAAGTCAAACAAGCTTGTTTGGTTTGATCCCCCTGGAACTCAAATCAAACAAGGTTGTTTTGTTTGAAACTTTTCGAGCTCAAACAAAGCAAACTTGTTTGAGTTGTTTGAATAATTTGTTGTTTGTTGTTTGAGTTATAACAACTCTAGTGCAGTTTACCCCCTCGCGAGGCCGACCCCACCTACCGTATCTCGGCTCCCTGTTCATCTACAGGTGTGTAAAGTATACCAAAATGTTCGTCTTGCTGTGGCGAGTATTTTGGTATACTTTACACACCTGTAGATGAACAGGGAGCCGAGATACGGTAGGTGGGTGCGGGCTGCGGGGGGGGGGGGGATAACCTGCATTTAAGCCACCACTGGCTGTCTTCCATCCGCTTCTACGAGCTGTTCCCCCCTTTCAGATGACCCGACGACCACCAAGGTGAAGATCTCTGCCGAGTGGCCGCACAAGTTGGCGACGTTGCACAGCCCGGCCAGTCGGGGAGTACGCGCGCTGCTGCAGCGCTACGTCGAGCTGAACGATCCCAACAATGCCGGAAGCCGAGGAGCGATCTCGGTACGTTTTTTAACTGTTTTGTGAGCACAAAAAACCCTGAAAAAAACTAAAACATTTCAGTCTAAAGTTTTTTTCTAAGATTTTCGTTGTTATTTTTTTGCTTGTTATAGCTGCTGAAGGTTTTGTACTTTAAACACTGCTAAAACTGGTTCTTTTGCATTATCGGGGGGGGCTTTCGCTTATGCGTTCAGAAGTGTTTACTAACATAATGGCAAATAGCAATAATTAATAATTTTTTCGTAAAATTTGACTCCATTTCACGTGAAAAAGGTGAAAAATCGTAAATTGTATGGTAAAAAATTTTTTAGATGAGGTTTTGGTGTAAAAAGGCCATTTTGGTCGAAACATCGATTTTTTTTTGCTTAGAAAATCCCCCCACCGATAATGCAAAAGAGCCTGTTAGAACCCTCTGAACAACCACTCGTTCCCGAGGTATTCGAAACACTTCCAGGGCACTGCACTCGATTTCGCGCCCACCTACACGCGGGGCGAAGATATCAAGTACGAGGTATGGGTATCACCCAACATTTTTTTAATTTTTTTCGGACTTTTTTAGTTACAGCTGAGTTTCCACCGGGGCCTAGCTTGTGCAGAATTTTGCGCTGATTCCGAATATCGTCATTAGAACAGCGGAATCGCGATTTTTCGAAAGTTATGAACGGCCAAAGGCCGAGAAACGCCAAAAATCAGCCACTTTTTATGGTTTTCCTGACTTAAACCTTCCATAACTTTCGAAAAGTCGCGATTACGCAAATTTTGACAACAGATCCGGAACCAGCGCAAAATTCTGCACCAGATAGGCCTCGTCCGAACTTGACCATGTCACTAAAAACATCTCTTTTTTAGCCGGAATGGCTGATAACCACCACCACAAAATCCACCACCACCACAAAATCGACCACCACGGTACCCACTCAGTCGACGAATGCCACGATGGCCATGAATACGACGAAGGCCACCACAACGACTACTACGAGGAGCCCGACAACGGAGAGACCGTGGAGGTAACGAGAGAGAGAGGGAGAGAGCGAGCGAGAGAGAGATAGAGAGAGAGAAAGAGAGAGAATGAGAGAGAATGAGAGAGAGAGAGGGGAGTGAGAGAGAGTGAGAGAGAGATAGATAGAGATAGCGAGAGAGAGAGGAGAGGGTGAGAGGGAGAGTGAAAGAGCGTGAGGGTGAGAGAGATAGAGAGAGAGAGAGAGAGAGAGAGAGAGAGAGAGAGAAAGAGAGAGAATGAGAGAGAGAGAGGGGAGTGAGAGAGAGTGAGAGAGAGATAGATAGAGAGAGGAGAGGGTGAGAGGGAGAGTGAGAGAGATAGAGTGAGAGAAGGGAGAGAGAGTGAGAGAACGAGAGAGATAGATAGAGATAGAGAGAGAGGGAGAGAGGGAGAGTGAGAGAGAGTGAGGGTGAGAGAGAGTGAGAGAGAGTGAGAGAGAGGGAGAGAGTGAGAGTGAGAGAGAGGGAGAGAGACTGAGAGTGAGAGAGAACTCTACCAATTTTTAGTGACGAAGAGTTGATGCACATCAATTCGTTCATCCTGTGCATGGTCGCGTTGCTCTTCCTCACCATTTACTTCAAGTGCAGTGGGTTTTTCGGCTCTGGTCTGGTAGCGGGGGGGAGGGACGATTTTTGTTTTTTTTCCGAACTTCCAGTACTGAATCTGATGATAATGTTTTATATATTTTTATGGTGTTTTTAATATTTTTTTGTTTCCCAAAAAGAGTTTAATAATTTTGAAAATTGAAAATTTTTGAGTTTAGGTAATTTTCATGTATTTTTAACCACATTCAAAAATTTTCTAGGTTCGATGTTATGGCTTTTATATATAAAAATTGCGTAAAATGCTTTGAAAATGGCATAGATTTTTTGTAGGGCCGTACGCTATGGCGGGAATAAATTCTTGTCCCCCCCCCGCTAAGAGTCAAGTACCTCTTTTTTTTTAGAAAAAATACGAGGCACCGCCGCGGGTGACCTGGCTGGAGGTGACGACGCCAGAAGATGCACACCCTCAAAATCCGCCGAAACAGCCCGACGGCATGGCCAAGTCGGCCAGGAGCAGCGCCACAGTCTAGCCCCACGTCTTCAACAAGTTCAGCCCTAATCTCTCTCTTCTTTCTAATATTCCATATCCATCTGTCGCTATGATTTCGGCTTGTCCATTTCTCTATTTCGTTGTTTTTGGACACTCGTGTTGTGATTACAGTAAAGATGTGCTACCGATAAATATGTTGAAAGACTTGGATTTCCGGGGCTTTTGCATTAACGGGGGGGATTATGCGTATATATAGAAAGGTGTTGTTACTATTTCTCACGTAAAAAAAAACTAAAAAATTCGATTAAAAAAATAGGTACCGATTTTTCTACCAAAATGCCGATTTATGACAAAATATTCGAATTTTTATACTGTTTTACAATTTTTAGATGATTTTCCTGCTAGCAACATAGTTAAATTCTACAAAAACCATTAATAAAATAATTGATATGACGTTACTAGGGAAAAGGAAAGAGAGGAAAAGAAGATAGAAAAGATAGGAACTATAGGAAACCCCCCGTTAATGGAAAAGTACCTAAAGATATAACGGGATTTTCTATTTTCACTTGATCCGAATTATTTTGAGTAAGTTGCGTCAAAATACATAAATTTCATGAAGCATATTTATTTTCACACAAAATTCAGCATGGCTCGGGTCCGTTCGACGAGCATGTGGATGACGTGCGTGTTCTTTCGGGCAGCTTTCCTGAAAAAATACGATTTTTTTGGCAGAGGATCTCTGCTAGCCTGCCCCTCGGACCCTCGCTCAATTTCCGCAAAGAATCTTTGCTAGCTTGCCACGTATTAAAATCGTCAAGCTTTAGAATGGTCGACGAAATAATGTGAAAATTTTCAGATTTCCTGGGCTAATCGTTGAAATATATTTTTGCAAGAATTGCATAGCTATTTTCGCCAAATTTTGACGAATTTTACAATAGATTTTTCGCAGTCCGCGACACGCACGCGCACCTTTCCATTGCGTAATGGGTTGCGTCGCGTTGCTAGTGTCCCGAATGGCGCGTGTGCGTCGCGTGTCGCGGCACCGCTCATTTATTTTTATTTAGTTTCTAGGCCGTTGGCAAATTAACGCCCCAAAGTGTTGCTCTTAGCACAAAAAGAACGAAACATTTTTCTTTAATTCAGAACTTTTTTCTGGTTTTCAACATTTTCTCTAGGTGCAGGATAGCAAAGAACATTTGAGGAAATTAAGATTAGAAAATGCTTTTCGAGTAAAACTAACGCACTGAATTTTTAGTTTTTAATAACGCCAAAATTTTGATGTTTCAAGAAAGGGAAAATCAAAACTGGCACGTGAGAGTAATAATTGCATCCTCGTATTGGCTTTATGGATATCGAAAATCACTGCCATTCTTAAGGCTGAAACGCTAATAATCTGACCGAAAATGATAGCGAATTAATGAGTCGAGTCGCGACCGCTAGTATTAGGTTGGAACTAAAGTTCGCGCAATATTTTTCTTTCTTTGTAATTTTCGGACTGGAAAACGGGCAAGAACCAAAATATTTTTTGGATGACCGGATATGCAATAAAATTCTCTATCCGATGTGTGGGACGTAATCGCGGTGCTTCCCTATTAGAATTTTTTAAAGCTAGATTTAAGCGAAAATAAAAAAATCGCTTCGGCCCGCCTTTACAAAACAAAATTGGCGTCCTTTTTAGGCTAATTCGGCATGCAGCTGATAGATATAACTTATTATTATAGTGATGATCAGTTCCTATGGTGACTTTATGGCGGTTCGGAAAGATGTCCAGGTCAAAAATTTGAAGTGCCCTCGAGAGAAACGCAAAAATCTTCAAAACTACTGGGGCTAAAAACCTGTAATTTTGGTCCCACATACACATGAACCCAATAGATATATGCAAAGAGGGAACATCGGAATCTGGCCACTAAATTTTCAGAAAGAAATTTCCAAAGTTCGATTGCGCGAACTTTCCAACCTAATACAAAAAGAACGACACATTTTTCGTCAATTCAGGCTTCTCCTAGCTTTTCAACATTTTCTCTGACGGCAGGCTAGCAGGGAGCATTTGAGGATTCGTGCCAAAAAATAGAAAATTATTTTTGAGCTTTCAGCTAACCAATTTTCAGCAACCCAATTGAAAACCTCCAAAAATTTTGATGTTTCAAGCAAGGTGAGCGTCAAAAACGGAATCCATGAGATATTGCTTCAAGGGTTCCGGATCAGAATATTCGATATAATAATAATCGATAGAAACACCACTGCCAATAGGAAGAGAATCCAAAAGTAATAAAAACCTATAGTTATTGTCATTTTACCCGTTTGCATCTACGACTGATTAGCCACCCCCATTTGTCTCTGCTAGCACCAAAATACTGAAACATTTTTTTGCTAATTTAGATTTTTTCGCTAGTTTTTTTATTTTTCGCATATGGTCGGCTAGCAGAGTGCATTTGAGGAATGATGCCAAAAACAGAAACCTTTTTCTGAGCCTTCCACTGATATGGCAAATTCTCAACAACACCAAATTTTTGATGTTTCAGGCAAAATCGTTGTTGAAAGCGCGGCCCGGCACGGTAATATCCGGCGGGTTTATTTTATACGAAGCTTATAGATTTTTGCGTCCCCGTGACACGCAACGCTTCCGCCTCACTTGGCCAGCTTATCAACGAGTCGTAATGCAGTACGCAGTGGGAATTCGGGGCGTACGCGTTGCGTGTCGTAGTGCGGAAAATCGATAAGGAAAACACTACCAATAAGAAGATAATCCAAAAGTAATAAAAACCTATAGTTATTATTCTCATTTTTCCGTTTTGGACTTGCCAGCGATTAGCGACCCCCTTTGGCTCTGCTAGCCCAAAAACAATGAAACATTTTTCGTCAATTCAGATTTTGTGCTAGCTTTTCGATACTTTAGCATATGGCAGGCTAGCAGAGAGCGTTTAAGAGATTATAGAAAAAAGATAGAAAATTATTTTTGAGCCTCCGGCTATCCTATCCTACTATATATAAAAAAATAGTGTCTGTGTGTGTGTGTGTGTATATTTGCATTCAACTTCCGTAAGTATGTACCGTACCTACAGCCTCAAGGGAAGGTTTTTAAGGTACGTATGATACGTCATTAGGTGCGTAAGGATCCCGAGATGAGTGCACATATATAAGATTTAGGAAAATCGGCTGTTTTCGCTATTAAAAATAAGTTTTTGTAAAGATTTTCAAAAACCTCTTTGTTAGGAGGCAATTTGCATGCGTCGGAAGTAGGGAGGGCCTATATAAAGGGACAGAGGAGCTGTTTTTCACTTTTTTTCTTGCTAGAATTTAGGGAGAAGCATGCAAACTGAGGACTTTCACAGGTCCTCGACGGGGCCAGGGTTGAAAAGCCGCGAAGCGGTTTTTCAACCCTGGTTGAATTTTAAAAACGGCGAAAACGTGATGTTTCAAGAACCGTGTATGTCAAAAACCAGGCCATTGAGGGTAATTTGTTTTGATGTGGATTTACTTATTGTTTTTGGTATCAATAGAAGCCAATGGATTTTACGAGGATGAACGGACTAGTGAGAATTGTAAGGAGCTTGTAAAAGAGGGTGTTTCCATAATTTAATTAGTCGATTTCTTCTCTATAAAAACATTGGGGAAAACGATAACTTTTCGAGCAAAAATTAACTAGCACAGATTCTTTTCGAGAATCTGGATTCTTATATATTATAAACCTTAAAAAGGTGACATGTACCATCGACGATAAATTAGCGAGCAAAAAATTGCCCAGCAGAGAGGCTTTGCGGAAAACTTCACGTTTTCCATTCCCCTTAAAGCTTGAAAACAGGGTACGCGAACGTAAAAACTCCTATTTACGCCACAGTTTCGGTCACAAAATGCGGATTTCACGATTAGAATAATCAACAAGCAGTCGCCCGATAATTAAGTAACTCAAGTCCTTCCGATAGCGCCAAAAAGTTGCATCATCGTTTTTCGAACGCCGGGTTGTGAAGAGATCTTCGGAGCAAAATGGCAAAACAAAATGTGTTCAACGATTTAAATCTTCTCAAACCTAAGATTCTATCAAATATTCGATAATAAATTAAATTCATATTAATTATTAAATCAAAATCTAAGATCAGGTTCAAAGGTTGCTTATCGGAAAACCCGTCGTTTCATCACGGCACTAAATTCACGCCTAAAAATTGGCTAGCTGAGATGCGTTGCGGAAATCTTGATGTTTTCCGTGTATTTAAACCTGAAAAACCCGGCACGCACGCACGGCCAGACGAAGACCCCAGATTTGCGCAGCAATTTGGACCAGAAAAAAAGGATAAGGCGGTTAGACAAATCGAGCATGTCGCGACCATGAATTAAGAAATTCAAATTCTGCGGATAGCGCTAAAGAATGAATCAACGTTTTTCAAACGCCGGGTTGTGAAGAGCCGTTTGGGAGCCAGTTGCAAAAAAAGTGCTTCAACAATTTAAATACCCGATTCCCTCTCGGGAACGATAATTTGACTTCATCATTGCCAAGTTCACCAATAGAAATTAACTAGCAGAGATGCTTTGCGGAAATATTCCTGTTTTTCTGTGTCTGTAAAACTTGAAAACAAGCTATTCATGTATTTGGTTCGGAAATGCCGAATTTTACAGGATGAGAATGCTACGAAAATAAGAACAAGAGCTTGTTCCGACTGCGCAAATAACGTGAAACATTATTTTCGAAACCGAACGATTGTAAAGAGGGGAACCAGATTTTCAAAATGTGTTAAAACAATTTAAATGCCCGATTCCTTCTCTGGAAAAATAGTTTTAGGTTTTTTCATGGTTAAATCCACGAATAAAAATTAGCCTGCAGAGATTCCATGCGGAAATATTGAGATTGTCATTTTTACGAATGGGCAAAGCATTGATAACATGATACAAGCAAATTAAGAGCTTCAGTTTGAAAGAAAATCATATAAAAATTGAAACATTGTTTTCGGCTGTCTGATCGCGATGCGAATTTATGATTCGAGATTAGAGATGGTACAGGAAAATTAAAAGTATAAGCTTTTTTCGATAAAAGAAAAAGGTTGA